ATTGGGAATTCTTTTTTAGTTTTACTCAAATAGCCTTGTGAAAATAGTCTCGTGATGTTTTCTGAAAATAATAGCATCTTGAGCATATTAAGCTTCAAAAAGTGTGCCTTTAATTTCAAGAGAAAACAGTGCTATTATTCAATTGAAATGATGGAGTGACAAACAATGCTATTATTTGGGCTACATCTGACACGGGGATAAATCTATTATCATCATCTCCAGCTTCAACCGATAACTCTATCCAAGCTCTGAACTTGTCATTCTCATTTGATAGACTTTGTATTCTAATGAGGATGCAGAGTCCACATCTGTCCCAGTTTTGTCTATTGACGACCCCTATAACATGTAACAGACAAGCTAAGTCAAAAATAATGTCACCATTATCATTAATTATATCGTCTTTCATTAAACAACATATATCCAATAACTAAGACTAGACTTGCAGCTATTTTCGACCTCTAATTATCAATAGGTAAAACATGTAAATAGCAATGGATCATATGGAAACTGGAGATAAGAATCTTTCCCATACCGGTCCAAGAAACATGATTGGAAAGACGAAGAAAGTGTGAAAACAAAGAAAAAAAATACATGACATACTCTTCACAAGACTAAATCTACGCGCACACACAAAATTGTGGTAATGTTGGTTTTTGTAACCAAAAAACATTTAAAATATAGCCACTGTAACGTGATGCTTCTCCGGAAACAAGTTGCAAAATTGACACAGTAGGCGACACGGGACCAGCCTAAATAAGCAAGATCCCTAGCTATATGAAAATTTCAGCCAACTTTGCACTTGACGACAAAATGTTGCTAATCTATTTGACAAGTTTGAACCACAAGATGCAAACTAACTTACAGAGAGTCTCTGTTCCTTCCTAGTGTCTAAGCTGGCAAGTGATTGGATGTGGACATATTTGCCATTGTTTCCTAATATGAGAAATGCTAATACATGTAAAGCAGCCTTTAGAATCTTTCTCTATTTGCTATCAAGGAAGGAATTTCCCTTAATTTTATGTACTCAAATATTCTAACAATATGAAGAACTTCTACACGATCATCATTGACCTATTGAAGCAGGTTAATTATCATTTTAATCATTTTATTTTGGAACCCCAGTAAAACCCGCAGCCGCTACAACCTCTGCCACATCCTCTGCCCTTCGGATGAGCATTCTGTAGTGAGCACTCTGTGCGCACTAGGTAAACCCCAGTGTAATAGCCTGCAAACCACACAGGGGATACAAACCGCACTAGACAAGCCTTGTGCGACAGACTCAGATCGAGAAGGCATTGAGGGTGGATCGAACTCCCGTCGCCCGTGTGGACAACACCCCTCCAAAACAACTGGACCGTCCCTTATTATCAAGTTACCGCCCTATTAATACTTATTATGGAAATTTATTTGTAATTTACCTTATTAAACTATTATTATACTGCAGTAGAATTTACTCATAATACTCCTAATTAAAATTTCCTAAATATTGAAGCATGTAGATGTTCCCTGATATTCCTCTTCTTATACCCTCCTGGTCTCAGACCTGTGGCCCGAATAAATTATTTAATTATTTTCATATAGTATTAACACTCAAACTTAGTTTCCTGGGCGACAAAACTAATTAATTAATCAAGATCAACTTTAATCTCCTGAATTACTGATTTTTGGTTCTCTTAAAACATTCTTTCCCTTTTCATATTAGCAACTAAATAATTGTCACTACTTTTATCAATGACGAGTTAGCTTGAGGAAACACTAAGCAAATTATAACTAAGCCTGAACTCAAGCACTTACATTTGATACGGAAATGTCAAAGAATTCTCAATTTTAAATGCTGAGATCTTTACATCGTTTGCAAGATATCAGTGAGGAGAGCGACGAGANGCCTGGCTATGGAAAAGGATAGAGGATTTCCAGGCTAGAATTTTGGAGCCAAGTATGGGGTGGACATGACATCTAAATGATTGAAGCTTCATAAAAATACAGTCTAAACTTATTTGGATTGTTGTTTGGTCACAAGTCAGAGCAGCCGAAATCCACAGCTTCTCAGCCATCACTACTCGCAACTGTATAGTAAGTAGTAGTACTACGGCCTACGGGGGAGTATGTATTTAAGTGGACAGATAAAACTTCGGTCCCCCCAACTCTTCAACAAAATAGTTTTTCTATTAGGTTTCAAATTAGTCTCCTCGTCTACTTGCTATTATAACACTCTTGAAATGTTGGGCTTAATCATTCCAAAGGCACGACTAATATGGTGTGATATATTGTCCGTTCTAAGTCAAGTCCTGCACGATTTTTCTTGACGGCCTCACACCATAATGTGTATTAACTACTAATGTGGGACTTTGGAATCTTATATATATGTTCGCAATATTTTTAACTATTAATGTGCGTCTTTGTTCGAAAATCCAATTCCCACAATAAAATCCGATTTGGTGGGTGTGCATAAGGCATTCACATCGTTGACATTCATAGTAGCCTAGGGGCGATTTTGCATCAACACAAGTTACGCAACAGCTTAAGAAAGAGAATGTAACGCCTTAAAACCATATTTTCTTGAGAAATATCGCAATAACAAACTGTCCCAAGATGGAAGGTGTATAGGCCAAAATCCGTCACTAAAATATTTAGGGTAATGTATCGTTAAGGAAAGAATCAGTCGAGGACGGCCAGGGGATAGCGAGGTTGCGGTAAAGAAGGCAGTGATGGCCAAGGTCGAGCATCGTTGATGGGATAACGACAGGTAGTTTTCGAAATAAGATATTAAAAAGAATATTCTAGTGAGTATTCTCTGCACGAGAATATTCTAGTAAATATTTTCTGCACTTATACTATTAGGGTTTGTTAGGGATATGTGTAAAAGATATAAGGGAAAAAGAAGAGAAAAGAAAAGGAAGAATATTCATTTTGATAAGAACACTTTTGAGAAGAAGATTTCCTCTCTCTAATAAAGATGCAAAGATTACCTTTTGATAAAGATTCTTGCTCCTATTATTCCACACCTTTCTGCCAGATCCGGGGATTGTCCGAATAAATCTTGGGTCTTTCTGTCACTCATCATTGGCAGGAGAAATATTCGTCCAATCTATCCATTATTGGGTGAATCATTCTTCCTATTTACTTAAATGCCATTTATTACTATTTGTTGCCAGTTACACGTCCATTATTGCCTATACTTTAAGAATATTTTATATTTATTGTCACCAACCCTTTGTGAAATCTGTCCCCATCTCCCATATGCTTCCGAGATTTGCATCTAGTATTATAATCCTTAACTAGATTTAATCAAACGTTATTTAAATATAATAGTTTAGCCGAAAGTTATACTTTTTGGTCAAATAATTTGGCGTCGTCTGTGGGGAATTTCTAGCTAAGTCTTTTAGTTTCGCCTAGATCTACAGCCGACACAGGTTACTAACGTAAAAAAAAAACAAGAACCTTTTTATCTCTGCATGCATAGATCTAATATGGCAGGTAGCAGAGAAGAAAGAATGAGAATAATGAGTGACCTCCCAACCAACCTAATGAACATCATCCACGAAAGCTCTGAAGCAGTGGACGAGGACACGATGCCCAATGCCTCTCCTAGGCGAGGTGGATCACCCCCTCCCCACTGCAGCATCACAAAATCTCTTGGTAAGATAGCCTCCACATCCGCGGGAGATGAGGCATCACCAACGATAAAGAAGCTCCTTGAGGCCTGGCTGACTGATACACTGACCAACATCCTCCACAAACCCGTTCGGGACGTGGCCACAGAAAACGCGAGAACCTGTGTTACGCCACCAGTGGATGAGCAATAAGATCAACCTCCCCTTCCTCCCACGACGATAGGTATCACTCACAGTGTTATTAACAATGCAAGTGACGACGATCTCACGGCCATTTAGAAAAGGATGGAGGAAATGAAAAACGAGAACAAGTCACTTCAGGACCAAATGAGAGAATACCAAGAAAGGGTCGATAAAATACCGGGAGCCCCTAAGCTATTGCCAAAGAGAGATGCCGGTCGGTTCGTCGAGCAGCCATACAGTGATAGTGCTGCCCCACATACCATACCAAAGACCTTTAAGATGTCGTCCTATCTGAAAATATACGACGGCACAACCGACCTCGAAAATCATGTGACCCACTATGTCACCGCCGTGAAGGGCAATGACCTCGCCAAGGAACAAGTATCCTTTAATCTGCTAAAGAAATTCGGCGAAACCCTCACGGGAGGCGCATTAACCTAGTATTCGCAACTGCCTGCACGCTCAATCAAAACCTTTGAGGAAATGGCCAATAAGTTCGTAACGGCCCATGCCGGGGCCAAGAAGACCGAGGCTCGAGTAAACGACATATTTGCTAATAAACAGTCTCCGGGAGAGGGGCTGAGGGATTTTCTCACCCGTTTTAACCGAGTAAGGATGACCTTGCCAAATGTATCGGAAGGAATGGCGGTAGCAGCTTTTCAAAACGGGCTGAGAAAAAATAGTTCAAGAGCAACAAGAAAATTATTAAGTCGGCTTATGAAGTATCCCCCAACTACTTGGGATGAAATACACAATGCATATTGTGCCGAGGTCCGAGTAGACGAGGACGACCTCAATGGTCCAACTCATTGATTAACCTCGGTACAAGCCGAATCCAGAAAAGATCGAAGAAATGATGTCAGGAGGGACCCATTAGCTCCATGAGCCAACCGGGAATGGCATCTCCTATATTTCAGAATCACTGCCGCGTCCTCATCCCGCCATGAAGAAGGACCACCCCGATCAAGAACAGGGACTCACTGGAATGAAAGAGGTATGCCCCCTTTATTATCCGCTCATAATTTTTGCGTGTCACCTACAGAGATAGTCTACGCCTTGGAGAAGCTTGGACCAAAGGTGAAGTGGCCACAAAAGATGAGGTCGGACCCGAATACCAGAAAATCAGATGCCCACTTTGAGTTCCATCAAGAGCGAGGACACAAAATCGAAGATTGCATCGCCCTAAGATAGGAAGTCGTAAACATGCTACGACAGGGACACCTCAAAGAATTGCTGAGCGATCGGGGAAGGACCAACTTTGCCAGGGGATGTGAACATCAGGGGCCGCCGAAATTGCCCTCGCCATCCTGCACCATCCATATGATCATCGGTGGCGAGGATGACGCTTCCATCAATAGTGTGAAGTTCACCACAACCCACAAGCTCAAACGGTCGATCACCCACGGACGATATGATGAACTCGAAGAAAGTATTATCTTTGATAAGTTAGATACCGACGGTTTGGATTTCCCTCACTATGATGCTCTCGTTATCACTTTACAAATTTTAGATACTGATGTAAGACAGATTATGGTAGACAATGGGAGCGACGCGTGTATTATCCATCCTCGAGTACTCGTACAAATGAAACTCGAGGACAAGATAGTGCCACACTGCATCACACTAACAGGCTTTAACAATGCAGTTGAGCGGACATCCAGCGAGATCACACTCCCCGTCTTAGCGGGTGGAGTCACGTTAGATACCACATTCCATATAATGGACCAGGACACGACATACAATGCCATAATAGGGCAACCATGGATACACACCATAAGGGCCATCCCCTCCATCATGTACCAAGTCATCAAATTCCCAACTCCATGGGGAATATTCAGTATACGAGGGGAGCAACGCATATCCCAGGAATGCTACCGCATCGCCCTAGACTGTACGGCCACCCAACAAACAAAGGATAAAGAAAATGAGGCATAACAATTAGCAGGGTTGAGGTTGGTATGCGATGATAGCGAGGACGTCATCAGAGATCACGATGTGGCCGAGGCCGCAGGATCAACCATAGAGGACCTTGACCCCGTTCAATTAGACAGCAACGACCACAACAAGAAATCTTACATCGGCTGCAAACTTCAGGAACCGGGTAAGTTTCATGAATTTTTAACTGCTACCGCGGACTTATTTGCTTTTAGCCATGTAAATATGCCAGGTATCCCAAAGGAAATCACCATGCACAAATTGAACTTTGATTCACTCTACCTCCCGGTGAGGCAGGTTAGGCGTAAGTTCAACTCCGCAATTAATGATGCAGTACACGAAAAAGTGGAGAAATTGTTAGAAAATGGCTCTATCAGGGAGTCGAAGTACCCCCAATGGGTCGCCAACGTGGTCATGGTAAAAAAGAAGAACGGCAAGTGGCGGATATGCGTAGATTTCACTGACCTAAACAAAGCTTGCCCCAAGGATTCATTTCCATTACCTCATATCGACCAACTCATTGATGCAACAGCCATGCACGAGCTACTGAGTTTCTTGGATGCCTACTCGGGCTATAATCAGATCCTCATGGAGGAAGAGGACGAGTAAAATACCACCTTCATCACCCACCAGGGGACGTACTGCTATAGGGTCATGCCCTTCAGATTGAAAAATTTGGGGGCAACTTACCAAAGGTTGGTGACGAAGATGTTCAAAGATCAACTCGGTAAAATGATGGTAGTCTACATTGACGACATGCTGGTCAAGTCCAAAAAGAAAGAAGATCACATCGACCACTTGAAATAAGCCTTCGGCATACTCAGGCAATACTGCATGAAATTGAAACGCCAAAAAATGTGCATTCGGTGTGGCCTCAAGAAAATTCTTGGGTTTCCTATTGTCGCAGTGAGGTATCGAGGTCAATCCCGACCAAATCAAGGCCATCAAAGAGATACCAGAGCACTTGACCAACAAAAAATAGGTCTAGAGGTTGACTGGCCGTATCGCCGCCCTTTCGAGGTTTATTTCACGATCCTCCGGTGGTGCCATAAGTTCTTCGGCGTACTCAAAAAGGAAAACGGCTTCCAATGGACCTCTGAGCGCGTCCAAGCCTTGAAGGAATTAAAGGTGTACATGTCCTCGCCACCGTTGCTCTCAAAATCGAAATCGGGACAACCCCTCATCGTCTATCTTGCCGTGTCCGAAGTAGCTGTGAGCGCAGTCCTCGTTTAAGAAAATAAAGGTACGCAATCTCCCATCTATTATATTAGCAAAACATTAGTCGACGCCGAGACAAGATACCCCCATCATGAAAAACTAGCTATGGCCTTAGTCGTAGCTTTATAAAAGTTTAGACCGTATTTCCCATGCCACCCCATCTCGGTCGTCACGACTTTCCCCTTGAGAAGCATTTTACATAAACCCGAACTAACGAGCAGGTTGGCCAAATGGGCCATCGAACTAAGCAAGCACGATATTATATATCGGCCGCGAACAATGATAAAGTCACAGGTCCTCCCAGACTTCGTCGCCGACTTCAGTGCAAAAATAATGCCCGAAGTCGAAAAAGAAACCGTCCACGCTTCTCCCCAAACACAAGACCTCTAGGTCCTGCACACCGATGGCACGTCTAACGCGTCAGAATTTGGGCTGGGACTCGTACTCGAAGTCCCAATAGGCGAAGTGATTCGTCAGTCCATAAGATGCCCGGACATGACTAACAACGAGGCCGAGTATGAGGCCGTACTTGTAGGACTGAGACTAGCACTCATATACGGGGTGAAGCGACTAAGGTTGCGTTGCGATTCTCAACTCGTGGTCAACCAAGTCACAGGGACTTTCCAAATCAAGGAGAAAAGGTTGCAAAAGTACCAGACCAAAATCTGCAAGCTACTACCCGAGTTTGACGAATGTCATCTCAACCAGATCCCCCGAGCTCAGAACACCGAGGCGTAAGGCCTCGCCAAATTAGCAGCAACCACTAAAAATATTACGACCGGAGAAAGAAATGTGGTCCACCTCCTCCACTCATCGATAGATCAAATCGAGGTAAGAACCATAAACTTGACTGGGGACTGGCGCAACCGTATTGTTGCATATTTGCAGGATGGCGTACTCCCAGATAATAAAAAAGAAGCCAAGAAACTTCAAATACAAGCATCTAGGTGCAACATCATTCATAACGACATATACAAGAGGACGTATGGCGCCCCCCTGGCGAAATGCTTAGGCCTAAATCAGACGCGGCGAATCCTTGAAGAAGTCCACGAAGGCTCATTCCGACAATCGAGCTTTGGTCAGATGCCTCATACGGGCATGATACTACTGGCCCGCCATGAAGAAAGAAGCCGCATATTTCGTAAAAAAATGTGAGCAGTGCCAAAAGTACGCCCCGATGATCCACCAAGCAGGCGAGCACCTCCACTCAGTTACTTCCCCTTGGCCGTTCATCAAATGGGGAATGGACATCGCAGGCCCCCTCCCGCCGGGGCGAGGTAACGTACAATTTCTTTTGATTTTAACTGACTATTTTTCTAAATGGGTAGAAGCAGGAGTATTCGCCCAAATACTATTTTTCTAAATGGGTAGAAGTAGGAGCATTTGCCCAAATACGCGAACAAGAAGTGATCGCCTTCATATGGAAAAAAATCGTATTCCGTTTCGGCCTCCCCAAAGAGATCAGTTGTGACAACGGACCCCAATTTACAGGAAAAAAGATCGCCGAATTTTTTGAGAAATGGCATATCAAAAGAATACTCTCAACACCGTATCACCCCGCGGGTAACGGGCAAGCGAAATCCTCCAACAAGTCCATACTGAACATCATGAAGAAGAAACTCGAAGACGCCAAGGGACTATGGCCGAAAATATTACCAGAAGTACTCTGGGCCTACCGAAGAATGCCAAAGATGAGCACAGGAGAAATGCCATACTCACTAGTTTATGGGACTGATGCAGTAATACCGGTCGAGGTCGGGGAGCCCAGCCTAAGATACTCCCACGAAAGTGGACCCCATAATGATGACAGTAGAATGCAGGAACTCGATGAAGTCAAGGAATGAAGAGATATGGCCTACGTGAGAATGGTCGCCCAAAAGCAACAAGCAGAACACTATTATAACAAAAAGGCAAAAATTAGGCCATTCAAAGTCGGGGACTACGTGCTTAAAGCTAAAACACAAGCAAGCAAAGACCCGCGAGAAGGCAAACTAGGAAAAAGCTGGGACAACCCCTACAAAATCATGGCGACGGCAAACAAATGGTCATTCACACTAGAAACGATGGAAGGAAAGCGACTACCAAACAACTAGAACATTACACACCTCAAGTACTTCAACTTTTAAGAAAGAGCCTCCTCCAAGTCATACAATTTTTTCCCTCACTCAAGTTTTGTTCCAATTGGGTTTTCTCAAGGAGGTTTTTATCGAGGCGATGAAGGGGACACTTCAAGTTGAAATACGAATAGACGGAGGCACAGGACGACTAGTTCATCGCCCGACCTCTCAATATGTTTCTCCAGGTCTACCAATGAAGGGACTAAATGGACTAAGACTGGAATGCCAGCCAACACTAGATAAATTGGGACTGGAATGCCAGCCCAAAAGATATGTAAATTTCTCCAAGTGTATGAACAAAGCACAAATACATGAAGTTTGCCCATGATTTCGCCAAACGTATAGCCAAAGCAACGTTGCCTTAACACCTATTCGGCCCCCGGCCATAACTAAATATAGGTTATATTCGACCTTATTCGAAACAACACCTATTCGGCCCCCGACCATAACTAAATATAGGTTATATTCGACCTTATTCGAAACAACACCTATTCGGCCCCCGACCATAACTAAATATAGGTTATAGTCGACCTCGTTCGAAACAACACCTATTCGGCCCCCGGACATAACTAAATATAGGTTGTATTCGACCTCATTCGAAACAACACCTATTCGACCCTCGACCATAACTAAATATAGGTTATATTCAACCTTGTTCGAATCAACACCAAATCGGCCCCCGACCATAAATAAACATGCAATGTGTTCGACCTCGTTCGAACCAACATCTACTGGCCCTCAGCCATAATCAAACGTAAGAATTTTTTTCAACCTCGTTCAACCTACTTGAACAAAGTTATTATGACTAGGGGAATATGGTAGGCTATAATTGCGTGTTTTAGTTGTTTATCGCACTATAATTTACTGCACTTTAATTGAGTTGAGCTTTCAATCGCTAGTGATTTGCACTAATTGTGTGTTTTATGCCTTGCATGAGTGATTCTGAGTTATGCAGATATTGTGAAACTAATTCGAGTTAATTGGATCTTTGAAGTCTGAGTAAAAGCCCAAAGGAATAAGTCGGGATCGTGTTCGGGGGTCAAGGATCACTACTGGATGTTAAAATTCAAGGAAGAATCAACTGCTGAAAATATAAATTAGTGCGACTCACTTTGTGACACAGCAGTGCAAATTTATGTCAGAAATTGGCAAAGTTCAGAGGCTACACATGTGCGCGAGGGAGCACTGGTGTGCAAGTTAGGCAGAATACTGTCCAAAGTGCGCGGCCATATGCCCGAGCACACTCCCAGGTGCGCTGCCGCGCACGTCCTATTCCTGAAAGAATCCTATTTCGCGTAGGAAAAAGTGTTTTTGTTTGGGCCTGACCCTACTTGGTATAAATACATGTAAAAACGTTATTTTTGGGACTTTTGACAAATATAAGACCTAAGGAGGCTAAGGAGAAGTGGGAGAAGCGAGAGCACAAGCATTTCATCATTCAATCCTCACTCAAGACAAGAGTTTGGATCGTTCATGCTTTCCTTTAACTTAAACTTATTTGTGATGAATTACTCCATATCTATGGAGTAGTTCTCTTTAGGGTTTGATGGATTTGGTGTATTGATATTTGTTATGGATTATAACTCTACTTTTTATGTAGTGAATCGTTTTGGATGATTTAATTGTTGCATCTATATTCACATGTTCATGTAATCGAGAGAGGCATAACTTGTGATATCGTTGCATTATCTTGTTGGTTGAGTTCATTAATTCTTCTTAGTAATCGAAAGAGGCTAGTTGAATTATTGTTTAACCCTAGTTAGGAGGATAATCGAGAGAGGTTCTCCTAAAAACCAATCTACTACGAATTCTTGCATATCTTCACTGAGCTTAAATTGGTTCATATTGTGAGGTTGAGACTTAATCGAGAGAGGGGTTTCCACTAAATGTTTGAACTACTAATTGAGTGAATTCGAGAGACTCACTTGAACATTAGAAGTAAATTAACTAGAGTTAAATCCCAGATATTTATCTTGCACTTATCCAATCAATCCCTATTTTCTCTCATTGATATCTTCCTTGCTTACTTTTGTTCGAGTGTCATTCGTCAATAAGTTAGACTCATAGTTAATTTTAGTTTTAATCACATAAATCTAAACTGTTGATCATCTTGGATAGCAATCAAGCTATAAACTATGAAAATGATGTTTAACTCTAATCCTTATGAATACGATATTATATTATACTATATTCGACTAGCGAACATATTTAAGTGTGTGTTTTGCGCTCGTCAAATTTTGGCGCCGTTGCCGGGGATTGACAATCAATAGTGTTGGAAATAGTTTGTAGTGCTAATTCAGGAATTTTTCTTTCTATTTTATTTTTCTCTTTTTACGTTTGGTGTTCCTTGATTATGCGCAGGCTACGAGTTAGATTGGTGCATGACTCAATCTTCTGGGGAGGAAGTGCTACCATAGAAACTAGAAATTGAGAAACAACTATGACAGTTAAGGAAGGAAAGAAATCTCCCCGAGAATACTAAGAAAGTTGGGCAATCCTCAACCAAAGAAATTATGGCGGGAGATGATGAAAATGTTGGTTTGGCTGCAAGAGAGGTAGCCCAGCAAAGAGAAAAAGCTGCAAGGGATGCTGAGAAAACAGCTCTTCGAAATGCACAACTTGTCTACGGGGAGGAAATGGCTAGGAGAATTGTTAAGAATCAACCTTTGGGTGCATACCAATTCAGAAATATAGCTCCCGGTGCTGGGAGACCACTTGGCAATTATGCTAGACCGGTCTATAACCAAGGCTTATCAAGTGTGAGACCACCTCCAGTTGCGGCTAACAATTTTGAGTTGAAGCAGGGGTTGCTCCAAACTCTTCAAAATAACTGTGTCTTCAGAGGAAAGATGAACGAGGATCCAAACAACCATCTAATGGACTTCGCGGAGATTATGAACACCTTTCAATACAACGGTGTGTCACAAGATGCAGTCTACTTAAGGGTATTCCCCTTCACACTCAAAGATGATGCAAAGCACTGGCTTCGCAGTTTGCCTAATGGATCGATTAGAACATGGGATGAGATGACTAGAAAATTTTTTGACAAATATTTCTCATCTTCTAAGACGAACAAGTTTAGAAGTAAAATCCATAACTTCTGCCAAAATGAGACTGAAATTGTGTTTGAAGCTTGGGAGAGGTTTAAGGAGATAGTGTGAAAGTGTCAACATAGCAGAATTGAACTCTGGATGCAACTCCAGGACTTTTGGGATGGATTGACACCAGACTCACAAAGAACGTTGAGTAATGCAGCTGGAGGCCCATTGATGAAGAAGACTCCAGGGGAGATAGTCACAATTCTAGATGAGTTATCTGAAGATGCAAATCAGTGGCCCTCTGAAATTGCTGAAAGAAGATCAACTAGTATTCCTCAAGTTGATGCTAACACATCTGTGCAGGTACAACTTGATTCCATGGCCAAAGAAATAAGGAAGCTGACTTTAGCTTCGATACATAATGAGCCTTATGCAGCATGTGATATATGTGAAAGATGACACCCTACTCATGAGTGTCAAATCTCAATTGAGGAAGATAATGTTGTGGGAATTATAACTTCAATGCAATGGGTCAGAAACATCCCCGGTTTTTCGTGGAACTCACCTGGGGGTACTGCAAATACATGGCAACAAAACAACTCCAGATTCCAGGGACAAGGAGCTCAGGGGTTTTTGAATCAGCCTAGGACACAGTTCCAGCCTCAACATTCCATTCAGCCCGGGCTAGAAGATCTAATAAAGTCCTTCATTGTCAAGATAGATGAGAGATTAGATGCTCATGATTCAGCTATCAAAGAACTTGGCACTGGTTTGCGGAACTTGGAGAAACAAGTGGGGCAAATTGCAACTGTATTGTCTAAGAGAATCCCAAGTACTTTGCCAACTGATACTGAAAGGAACCCCAAAGAAACAGTGAATGTTGTGACCTTGAGAAGCGGGCAAGTGCTGAAAGATCCCACTCCAGTCCAAAAAGAGGTGGTACCTGAAAAAGAAAGTGAGGAGAAGCTGAAAATTGAAGGTGATAAGAGGACGAAAGGCAAGAAGGGAGCTGACAAAAAGAAGAAGGAGGACACTTCGAGAAAGGAAGATCGGAATGAGAGCGAGCACATGCCTGCTCTACCTTTTTCCCAAAAGCTGAATAAAGAAAAGAAGGACAAGTAGTTTGAGAGATTTCTAGATATGCTGAGACAGGTTAATGTAAATTTTCCATTCATAGAAGTTCTCTCACAAATGCTAGCTTATGCCAAATTCTTGAAGTAGATCCTTACAAAGAAGAGGAAGATAGAAGAGACCTCAGTGGTCAAGCTCACAGAGCATTGCAGCACAATCTTGCAAAATAAACTCCCACAAAAGTGTGGAGATCCAGGGAGTTTTACTATACCTTGCTCTTTAGGCACTCTTAATTTTGATAAGTCTTTATGTGATTCTGGTGCCTCAATTAATTTAATTCCTTTGTCTATTTACAGGAAGCTGGAGAATAAGATTGGAGAGATAAGGCCTGCACCAATATCTTTACAGCTGGAAGACCAAACAACTATCATACCCGAAGGGATAGTGGAATATGTTTTAGTTCAGGTAGATAAGTTTGTATTTCCTGTAGATTTCATAGTAGTGAAGATTAAGGAGAAGAAGGAGGTCCCCCCATCTTAGGAAGACCATTCTTAGCGACGGGCAGAGCAATATTAGACATACATGATAGAAAACTCATGCTTAGAGTGGGTGAGGAGACATTGACTTTCGAGATGAATGTAGAGACGGGGGTGGAAAAGGAGAAGCCAACTGCAAGTGTTGAATGGAAGGTGAAGAGTTCAAAAGGGAAGGCCGCAATTAGTGAACAAAATAAGTATGGGGTGTAACCCAAGAAGGCTGAAAAGAATCTATCTGCATGGATGTGTGCACTAATTCGGGCAAGAACAATGGAGCCCAACTTTGATTCAGACCCTGACTAGAGATTCGAGAAAGTTTCCTCTACCATATGCTTTTTAATTATGTGTCATGGGGACACACCACAACTTAAAGTGTAGGGTGAGAGATATTGGTATGTTGTATGTATATTAGTTTTAGTTTGTTTTTGCTTTTTAATAGTTAGAATAAAAAAATATCTTTAATAGTTAGAAGCAAAAATTCAATTTTTTTTATTTAAATTTTTCGATTTTTTCCGACGATGGATATCATTCGACGGGATTTTTGAGGGATTAAAGTCAAAAGAAAAAGATAAAAATATTTTCTCTTGTTAGGTAGTGTATTAATTTTCTCTTGGTTTTATTTTGTGCCGCGATTCTTTTCCAAGGGTTTTGATTGAATCGGATGTAGTTAGTTTTTATTTTTGGTTAGGAATAGGAAGCCTTGTGTTGAGAGCTGAATTGAAGACAATGGCTCTTAACTTTATTATACCTTGAGAATAGTGAGTGATTTAGTTATGACACTTAGGCTCAGTTTTTGACTATTGTATAAGTACCTTAAAGTGTATGATCTTAACTTTGCTTAACTGCTTTGACTAGAGTGTCTTGATAGTCTAATACGTAGTGAATTATGTGCCATTTGTGTATGAGGTTTGTGTCATTCTGTGCATTGTATTTGATATCTAGAACTTGCCCCGTGTATTTGCAAAGCAAAATAGTAGTTTTATTCAGTCTTGGAAGTCATATAGGCATTTCTTTGTTGAGCCAGTTATATGCTTTTACCCACCTAATTGTTATGTATCGTAGTTAACCCTTTTGAGCCTATAATCCTGTTTCTTTGGCACCCACATTACAAGCCTTTTCCATTTGTTTGAATTGACCATCTATTTGAACCTTGTACCTCTCATGAGCACTTGAATTTATGATGAACTTTGTAAAAGTTGAAGTGTGGGGTGGTTGATTTGGCTTTTGAGTGGAACTAATGAAATAAGGAGAAAGGTGCACTGTTTTGAAAAAAGAATAAGTAAGAGCTACTTAAAAGAGAAAAGAAAAACAAATAGTTGTATTGTTGTGCAAAATATTCTTTGATAGTGGCAACTCTTGATGTAATTGTGCTTAAAGAAGTTGGGAGTTAATGTATATTGATGTGAAGGTGGAGTTATGGTTTGACATAAGTGTGAGATTTTGAAAGGTAAATCATATGTATTAAAGTGCTTAGGGAGGTGTAGTCACTCTCATATCTAAATGTATCCTACCCGTCCCGCAGCCTACATTACAACCAATGAAAGTCCTACTAGATCCTTGACTGAATGAGCTCGAATTAGTAGAGTAGTATACTACGGGTAAGCCTATGGTTCATCTTTTTGTGGCATATGAATGTTGTTTCAGAGAGCGAGCGAATTCCTTCTATTTTAAAGTTCCTAATTATTCTTAAATTTTATTGTGTATGAAACTACTCTCTATTGTTCTGTGAGGGCACTTGATTCATGAAGGAAGGGTAATGTCATTGACCTCTGTGTTAGAGTAAGTGAGTAGATTGTGAAAAATGCGTGGTGCTTTTGAGTCAAATCTTGAGGCTAAGATGTTACACTATTGTGCTTAGTCTATCTTAAATACTCTTTGTATGATGAGTTAGAAAAGTTGATTAAAAAGGTCGTATCTATATAAAATGTAGTTTGATTGCTCGAGGACGAGCAATAGTTTAAGTGTAGGGTGTTGATGGTAGGCTATAATTGCATGTTTTAGTTGTTTATCGCACTCTAATTTACTGTACTTTAATTGAGTTGAGCTTTCAATCGCTAGTGTTTTGCACTAATTATGTGTTTTATGCCTTGTAGGAGTGATTTCGAGTTATGTAGATATTGCGAAATTAATTCGAGTTATTTGAAGTTTTGAAGTCTGAGTAAAATCCCAAAGGAATAAGCCGGGATCGTGTTCGGGGGTCGAGGATCACTGCTGGACGTGAAAATTCAAGGAAGAATTAACTGCTGAAAATATACACTAGTGCAACGCATCAATGCAAATTTATGTCAGAAATTGGCAAAGTTCAAAGGCTACACAGGTGCGCGAGGGCGCACAGGTGCGCAAGTTAGGCAAAATACTGTCCAAAGTGCGCGGCCATATGCGCGAGCACACTCCCAGGTGCGCGGCCGCGCACGTCCTATTTCGGAAAGAGTCCTATTTTGCATAGGAAAAGGTGTTTTCATTTGGGCCCTACCCTACTTGGTATAAATACATGTAAAAATGTTATTTTGGGACTTTTGACACATCTAAGACATAAGGATGCTAAGGAGAAGTGGGAGAAGCGAGATCACAAGGATTTCATCATTCAATCCTCACTCAAGACAAGAGTTCGGATCATTCATGCTTTCCTTTAACTTAAACTTATTTGTGATGAATTACTACATATCTATGGAGTAGTTCTCTTTAGGGTTTGATGGATTTGGTGTATCAATATTTGTTATGGATTATAACTCTACTTTTTATGTAGTGAATCATTTTGGATGATTTAATTGT